ATAAGAGGGGGAGCTGACCAGGAAGATTAAGAAGAAATGGCCAAGAAATAAAGGAAGCCAGGCAAGTGTGTTGATATAGAGACCAAAGACAGTGTTTCAGTAAGTAAAGAAGGGCCAACAGTGTTGGATACTCATCCAGGATGAGTTCTGACAAGAGCCAACAGGGCTTAACCACATGGAGATAACTGGTGACTTCAATGGAACAGGAAAGGGCTAGACAGTGGCGATGGGATCCAAATTAGGGTAGGTTATATAATGATGTGAGAAAAGAGGCCTTTTTTTTTCAAGAGGTTCATCTCTAAAGGGGAGGAGTGCGAGAGAGAGGAAGAAAGAGTGCGTAGTAACTGTTGAGTTTCTGAGGTTGAAGGAAGTGCTTAGTTTGGTTTGTCTTTTTAAGTTGGAAATTGTTAAGCCTATTTAAATACAGAAGGAAAAGGTCCATTTGCAAGGAAATTATTTAATATACAGATGAAATAGTGGATAATACAAAATTCAACTGCATTTAAAGAGAATAATCAATTGCAAACATTCTCTGTTAGGTTTTTTTTAAAAAATATATTTTATTGATTTTTTACAGAGAGGAAGAGAGATAGAGAGTTAGAAACATCGATGAGAGAGAATCATTAATCAGCTGCCTCTTGCACACTCCCATTGGGGATGTGTTCGCAACCAAGGTACATGCCCTTGACCACAATCGAACCTGGGACCTTACAGTCTGTAGGCCGACGATCTATCCACTGAGCCAAACCGGTTTCGGCCATTCTCTTTTAGGTTTGAGCCATGCCTGAAACATTTAGGGAGGCTTTCCCCTTTAGCTGATTAACTGGGCACATATTTTCTTAGGCAAAAGGCACTAACATTGTTGGCATTTCTCCCTTGTTGGGGTAAACAACTGATACACAATAGCATGGTATTAAATGCATACTGACTTACAATATTTTCAACTTAATAAGTTTATCAGGACCTAATCCCATCTTCAGACAAGGAGCATCTGTATGGGACACTGTTACTTCTTGAACATTTCTAGACATGTTCTCAGTTTAGGGATGTTTTCACTTGGTGCTTGCTCTGCCTGAAATTCTCTTTCCCCAGATATCCTCACAGCTTGCTCCTTTTTATTTTTTAGGTCTTTGTTCAAACAAAGCACATCATTAGGATACCTCCCAAAATCACTCTATTTAAAATTGCAACCCCCCTTATCTGTTTAATATTCCTCCATATTGTAAACACTTTACTTATTTCTTTTGTTTATTGTCTGTAATCTGCTTCTTGAATATGAAATCCACCAGGGCAAAGTTTTTGTCATTTTGTTCAATGATCATTCCTGGCACATAAAAGATACTCAATAAATATTTGTTGAATGAATGAATGGTTATGATATCTTAGTATCCCCATAGATACAGGCAGCAGTACTAAGGTATGAGCCCATCATTTGCAGTATAGATAGCTTATCAATCCTTGATAGTGAATCTTCTTGACAGTTGTCACATATAGCAAATAAAAAAGTTCAAGTGAAACAGTTTATACCTAGTGCTTATTAATGTTCATGTAATGTGGGTCCTGATTATGTTCATTGGGTCATTGTTTTTCTTCTTCAAGAGTAAAGATATCTTTAGAGAAAAAAGAAATGAGATGAACAATTCTCATTAATTCTCTGAAGCTGTGTGGCAAGACTGAAAGTCATTATCAGAGGAGAAAATGAATAAATCCTAGTAAAAAGAGAACATTAGTTCAGGAGTTGTACCTTAGAAGTCTTTATAATTTCTGAGTCTATAAACCTTAGTTTATAAACACAAAGGTAAGCCTGTAGTTTTTTAAAAAAAATATTTTATTGATTTTTTACAGAGGAAGGGAGATAGAAACATCGATGAGTCATTGATCAGCTGCCTCTTGCACGCCCCCTACTGGGGGTGTGCTGGCAACCAAGGTACATGTCCTTCACTGGAATAGAACTTGGGACCCTTCAGTCTGCAGGCTGATGCTCTATCCACTGAGCCAAACCGGTTTAGGCAAGTCTGCAGTTTTAAGAAGAAAAATACAGTCCACTTAGGAAGACACAGGTGATATCAGAAGTAAAATAACTGTGGTAGATTTCCAATTGTATTCCATTCTATATTAGGGACTTATATGTCCTCACCCATTACCATGTGGCTTGAAGTGATCCTGTATTTGTTATTTTTATAATAATGCTGAACAATCCCAATGGCTATAATAAACATCTATTTTTCTTCCTCAGAGGCATGCAAGTCTGCTGAGATGGCTCTACTTCAGGAGGTGGCTTTCCTGGGTTTGTTGGAAAGTCTGTTTCACCCTGCTGAGTATAGAATTCTAAGTAGACAGTTTTGTTTTGAACTTTAGAGTTATCATTTCCTTTTCTTTTGACTTGCATAGTTTCAACGAGAAGTTATGAAATTTCTTATCAGTTCTCTGTATATAATGTACCTCTTTTAGATATTCTCTTTATCAGTTTTTCACCAGTGTGATTATGATTTACCTTACTTTTCCTTTATAGTTATTCTACTTGGGTTTCTTTGACCTTCTTGGATCTGTAATTTATATACTTCATTAAATTTGCAACTTTACTTCTTCAAATATTTTTTTCTTCACCCTCATCCCCTTTCTGAGGCTGTAATTAGCATCTTGTATATTTTCCCATATGTCACTGAGGCTCTGTCTTTCCCCTCTCCCCTCCCCCAGTGAATTTGTCTCTGTACTATATTTTGGATTGTATCTATTGCTGTTTCTGCAAATTCATTATCTTTTTCTGCAGTGCCTGATGTGCTAATCCTCCTACCCAGAGAGTCATGAAATTTCAGGTATTATTCAGCTCCAGAAATTCAACTTGCTTTTTGTCTTAAAAACAAACACACACAGACACACACACACACACACACACACACACACACACACACAAATTCCTGTTTCTCTCCTGCCATATTTTCCTTTAAATACTTGAGCATATTGACTGCATTTATTTTATTTTATTTATTTTTTTAAAAAAATATATTTTATTGATTTTACACAGAGAAGAATTGAGAGGAACAGAGAGTTAGAAACGTCGATGAGAGAGAAACATCGACCAGCTGCCTCTTGCACACCCCCAACTGGGGATGTGCCCGCAACCAAGGTACATGCCCTTGACTGGAATCGAACCCGGGACCTTTCAGTCCGCAGGTCGACGCTCTATCCACTGAGCCAAACCGGTCCCGGCTTAACTGCATTTATAATAGGTGTTTAAAGTCCTTGCCTATTAATGTTATCATTTTTGTCCTTTTTGGATGGTTCTTATCACCTATGTGATATATTTTCTTATTCCTTGGCATGTCTACTAGTTTTTGACTGGATGCCTGGTATATTGAATTTAATGTTCTTGAGTCAATCCTAGGTTTTGTCCCAGCCTTTTGGAGGGAATTAGACATATTCAACTCTGGCTGCAGGGAACTCATGATTCCTAGTCCTGTGTGAGCTCTGAGAAGGGTTTGGCTTATTGCTTCCCCAAAATTGTTCTTTCCCGGCCTTGTGGAGTTTCCCCATGACGTAGTCACTGATTTTTATTCTAATAAAGATTCAAGGGTATTGATACATAGATTTCTGAATCTCTTTCTCCGTGAACTCCAAATCATAAATTCCAACCAACTGGCCTACACAACCCCTAAACTCATCCCATTCTTCTCAGCTCAATAAGACCTCTGTCTTTTCAGTTTCCTTCAGCCTCTGAGTCCCTCTGCCCTGCCCCTCAGACTGGAAATAACCTCTAGGTGGAACGCTACGGTCAATTCTGTCAAGAGAGGAATTGACAGGAGTGCCTCAGCCATGAAGACAGAAGAGAAACAGTCCAGAGATGGAAGACGCTGACAACATCTTGCCATACTAGCAGACAGGAGCTGTGTGTTGCTGAAGGATGCCCAGGACCAAATCAGAGAGCGTCGGACCTGCATCACCACCATTTGTCCACCAACCAGATCTGAAATACCATGGCTGACATGTACACATAAGGAACTGTGTGACATTGAAATTGGGACTCAAAAGAACTGTTGATCCAGAAAGGCACTCACTACAGACTGACTCATTTGCCTCTCAGCATAACCATTATGGCTTGTCTCAGTTTCGGTTCTTATAAGGGAATTCCTTGTATCACATGATCTCACGCATCTAGGGGAAATAATGAACAACATAAACTGATGAACAGAAACAGACCTGGAGACAGAGAAGCAGGGATCAGACTGTTGGACCTCAGAGGGAAGGTAGGGGAGGATGGGGGTAAGGTAGAGAGATACACGAAAGGTCTTACGTGCATGCATATGGGCCTAGCCAGTGGTCATAAACAACAGGGGGGTGGGGGCATACATGGGGAGGGGTTTGGGATGGGAATGGGGGGATGAGGACAATTATGTGATACCATAATCAATACATTTTTAAAAAAGAAAGCCAAGGTGATAGAGGGGTCACCTTGCTTCTTTTCTGTTAGGTACAACAGTCCAGACTGCGTGTTGCCCCATGGTTTGAAGACGGGTGTTTCATACATTATGTTCCGGTTTTGTTTTTTTTTTTTTTTTTTTTTTTTTTTTTTTTTTTTTTTTTTTTTAGTTGTCCAGACCCATTTTTCCTTGTTGTCCCGAAGAAAAAGTCTTTTATTTGCTATGTTTAAAATTCTCCTCCCCTCCTCAGAAAACGTTGCTGGGATCCTTTGCTCTGCGGTATCCTCCAATGACCGGAGTAATTTCCACGGGAGCCCGCCTCCGCTTGGGGGCGGGAAAGCCCGTCTCCTCACTCGCGAGCGCCTCCTTCCGCCTTCCGCCCGCCCGCGCCGGCCCAGACGCCCGCGTTCCGCGCGCGCCGGCTCACTGCGCCTGCGCGGCGCGCGCTCCCGGAAGTGGGAGGTGTCCGCCCGAGTTTGTGTGGCCGCCGCCGCGGGAACGCCAGTCGAGGTCTCGGAGTTTGGCACCGTGAGCGCGAGCGAGTGTCGGTCTCCACGGTCCGCTTCTCCAGGGACGCCCGGCATGGAGGCTGATCCGAGCCCGCAGCCTGGCGGCAAGGCCGTGGCTCCCGCGCGGCCGGAGGCGTCGCGGTCCGAGCCCGGGGAGGAGCCGCAGCCCCGGCATCCCGAGGTGAGCTGCCCGCCCGCCGCCCCGGACGCCGCCCGCCCCTTCCTTCCTTCCTTCCTTCCTTCCTGGGTGTCCCGCTTTTTCTGCCCCAGCTCCGGGAGCCTTTCCTCGGGGTGGTTGTCCCCGAGCTCTCGCTGGTCCGGATTGCCTTCCGGGTGAGAGTCCACGGGCGAGGAGAGAGGCACGTGAGCTGGGGTTTGAGAAGTTGAGTGGGAATTCCGCTCTAAACGTGCTGTGCAGCCCTGACCGGTGTGGCTCAGTGGATAGAGCGTCGGCCTGCGGACTGAAGGGTCCCAGGTTCGATTCCGGTCAAGGGCATGTACCTTGGTTGCGGGCACATCCCCGGTGGGGGGTGTGCAGGAGGCAGCTGGTGGATGTTTCTGACTTTCTATCCCTCTGTGTAAAAAAATCCATAAAATATATTTTAAAAGATAGATACAGAGACAGTAAAGCAACAGACAGACTGTCAAATGACAGCGAGAAGGTTAGGGAGACGTGGGGGAGATAAGAGATCAACTGAAGGACTTGTATGCATGCATATAAGCATAACCAATGGACGAAAAACTCTGGGGAAGGAGGACATGTATGGGAGTGGGGGGAAAGGGCAATGGTAAGATATGCACACATATACTATCTTAATAAAAAAAAAAAAAACATGCTGTGCACACTTGCTGTAGTCATTCTGCCCAGCCGGATTGGTAATTGTCAGGCTGTGTGTTTTTCTCAAAAAATCACACTATGTGTATGTCACTGGAGACCTTTGGGCCCGTCTCCTTCCAGCCTTTTGTGTCTGTTAGAGCTTCGTCCTTCATTTTTTTTTTTGGGGGGGGGGGGTCCATTTATTACTGTCTCATGTAGACCTACGTGTGACTCAATTTCTTAATGATTTCGACGGTTCCCTGGTAGTTACAGTGGCACAATTGTAAAGTCGGACTTAAGAGCTTAGTTATTCATCTTCTTGAGTGCATATAGTTATTTTGACCCGCCCTGCAGGGTGTAAAACAATCTAATAACTAAAATTCATCATTTCCTGTTAATAACGAATGAATGTTGAGTAGCTCATAGAGTGAATGCTTACTTGCAGGAGGCTTCCTAGCGAGGGCTTCTTCCACCCTACTGTTATGGAGCGAACGCCGGTGAATGACCACTGGAGTCCAGACCAAATTAAAATTTAGGGAGCCTTGAATGCCGGCGGGCTGACTGGTCTCCTTTCTCCTCACACAGAGTCCAGAGGACAGCCCCAACCGTTTGTGAACGACCGTTTTTAAACACATTCACTACACCCTGTTTAAAACAAAACAATTTAAAACCAAGTAGTAGTTTTTCTTAAGCATGTCATTCACAGGGTCCTGGTGCCTGGTGGGGTAAGTAACTGCATCCCGTTATCAGGAAAGTTGACAGTGATCTATCTTGTAAGGCTTACTGGCCTCCTGTTCTCAAGAAAACTTACAATAATTTATCCCTGTAAGGCTATTTTGTGACTTGCAGCTGGGATTGGTGGCCAAGTCGACTAGGAGGAAGCATGCTCAAAAATTCCCACTCTCAGCTAATTCTCCAAGTAGCAGCTGGAATGATCTTTTTCAGTTTACCCATCTGACTGGGTTGCTCCCCTCCTCGGTCTCTGGTTTGTGGTCCCACAGGGCGGGGCTCCTGTGTCCATAGTAACTGCTTCCGCACACACTGCTTCCCTCTTGCTCTCTGCCTTGCCTTCTTCCAGGGTCTTGTGGTGCTGCCTTTGCCCTGCATGCACTTCCTGGGGTTTTTGCACAGTTACCCCATTCTCCTTTACATGTTACTGTGAAGAAGGTCTTCCAGGGGCCTTCTCTCCAAAGAACATTTCTTCTTTCACCTCATTTCCCTCTTCATTCTGTGGCACTGTCAACAACAACATCATGTAAGTCAGTTTAAGGATAATGTTTAAAGCTTATTTTAATAAGGGAAGTATAATTGAATATGCTTCATGACATTTCAGTCTAAAATCTTTTAAGATATGGTGACTTAGTAAGGCCTGGGTCTGTGTTCCAGATTGGTTTTCGTGACTGCCATATTTGTTCAAGATCTGTTGTTGGATACTCTTAATAAATGATGATGTGGGTTGTTATGTTGTTGTTTTTTTCATTCTCAAGTGGAGTGTTTTTTTGTTTTGTTTTTTTGATGTTGGAAGTTAGCTAAGTAAATTTCCATTGTTCCTAATATCAATTGTATTTGTAAATGAGTGTTGCATTTTTATATTCTTAACAAATAGGTTTAAGTTCCATCAGAAATTTTCCTTCAGAAGAGTATTAGTCTAGTTAAATTCTGCTATTTTAAGGTTTGTTTTTTTTTTTTTTTTTAGTATCTGGATACAGTTTTATTTTTAACATTTTTATTGACTTAAAAGGAAGAGAGAGGGAGAAACATCAATGAAGAGAGAGAATCATTGGTCGGCGTGCCTCTTGCATGTCCCACACTGGGGATCAAGCTGACATGTACTTTGGAAATCAAACAGCGACCTCCTGATTCATAGGTCTGACACTGAACCACTGAGCCTTTCTGGCCAGGTAAAAAAAAAAACCCAAAACACTCCATTTTTTTATTTAAGAAAAGAAGAAAGGTTTATAACATAATAATATAGTTATCCTGAATAACTGTTATATGTGACTTTTGGTAATTGTCTGCTTGAAACTGAATACATTTTCTTTTTTACCTTGGGTACTAGGAAATTTTGAATTAGATTCCTAGTCTATGCTGTTTTTATATTGGGCAATTTCTATTAGCCTTGTGAAATGAAGTCAGGTGAAAAAATCCTCAGGAAGGCATTGCTTTATACATGCATAATGTTGTAATGAGTAATTTAAAAATTAGTTTGTGAATTTTAGAATATTGTTAGTGAAAAGGTCTTTTCTATTATATAATCTGTGGTAGTAATAAGTAAAAATACCACTTATTAATAGCCAAGATGGGTATGATATTAGAAATCTGATACCCATAATCTTATTTAATCCTTATAATAATCTTGCCTAAATACTATTTACAATTACCAAAACCAAATACCATTTGAGACAATTATTATTTTACTTTGTTTTATAGATAAGGATATGGATAACCAGAGGTTAATTAGTAACTACCTAAGGTCATGCTGCTGGTAAATGGTCAGCTGTGGCTCTGTACATAGTGCTCTTTTTACATAGCTTCATTGTTTATGAGGAACTTCTTGACTTAGGAGAGAACACTCTGAATTGTATTGGAAACACATCTCTTCTTATTCTGCCTTCAACCGGCATGTTTGAAGTGATTGCAACCGGCATGTTTCATTGAACATGGAGCACAGAGAGTCCCCATCTTCAGAAGTTTGAATTTTTAAGATGCTTGTACTAATTTTAAACTATGTCTTTTTCTTCTTTTTTTGTAGAAAAAGCAACGATGTAGATATGATGGCCAAGAAACAAAAGGATCTAAGTTCATTACCTCCAATTCAAGTGATTTCAGTGACCCAGTTTACAAAGAGATTGCTATTACAAATGGTTGCATTAATAGAATGAGTAAGGATGAACTCAGAGCTAAACTTTCAGAATTCAAGCTTGAAACCAGGTAAATAAAATTATAAACATATTACATGCTCACCCTAGAAAATCTTGAAAACACTGAAAAGGTTAAAAATAATCTTACCATAAAGAAATAACCGTTATTAAAAATTCAAATAACAACTGTAATTTATATTCTTGCCTTTACTTGAATCTGTGTGTGCAACTCTTTTTTTCTGTCAGTCTTTTAGGTGATTGACTAGTACTGGGAGTTGAAGTCTCTGAATATTTTGACAGCCTACCAGTAGTGTGTAGGAATATCTATTTTATTATGCCAAGTATTTTAAGTTCTTTCAGTTGCTCATTTGGTTGCTGGATAATATTTTATAATGTGATTGAATAATTTCTTTTGTCCATATGTATTACTAGAGGCTCAGTGCACAAAATTTGTGCATGGGTACGGTCCGTAGGCTTGGCCTACAATCAGGGCTGATCAGGGCCTTCTGGTTGCCCACCAGAGAGAGAGAGAGGAGTATTGATTTGTTGTTCCACTTATTTATGCATTCATTGGTTAAGTCTTGCATGTGGTCTGACTGCAGACTGAATTGTGACCTAGTTGAATTGGGACGCTGCTCCTGACTGAACCACCCTGCCACAGCCTAAGGTGCCTTCTGAATTAGTTTTCCTAGTTAAATAACTAACAGACAATCAGGTATATATATATTAGGCTTCTATATTTTCATATGGACTTTTTTAGTTGTCCTGCAAAAACCAAAAGAAAGAGGTAGATATGTTAATTAACAATTTACTTGAATTTTTATACTCTGAAATTTGTATTTGGCCAGTAGAATTAGTCAATATTATTTTCAGCTTTTTGTCATATATGTCATCTTAATCTGAAAGCGACATGACTATGTAGGTGGTGTATCCTGACAAGGTTTATGGTTCAAAGTACCAGAATATATTGAAGAAAATGCTCTTATATACTACAAAATGAAAAGGTACTTGCAAAAGAAAATATTGATGCTATATTAAACATAATATTTTAATTTGTTTTTTGCTAAATGAGCTTTGAGTCTTGTTTTCTTTACATTTATTTTAGTAAACATAGAGGAATTGAGAGGGATAGAGAGTTAGAAATGTCGATGAGAGAGAAACATCGACCAGCTGCCTCTTGCACACTCCCTACTGGGGATGTGCATGCAACCAAGGTACATGCCCCTGACCAGAATTGAACCCGGGACCTTCCAGTCCGTGGGTCGACGCTCTATCCACTGAGCCAAACTGGTCTCGGCAAGAGTTCAGATTCTTGACCATGAAGTTCACCTAAGAGTTGATTTTATTATTTTCCTTAGAGGAGTAAAGGATGTACTAAAGAAGAGGCTGAAAAACTATTACAAGAAGCAGAAGCTGATGTTGAAAGTGGACAGTTGTGCTGACAGTTACTACGACTACATTTGTATTATTGACTTTGAAGCCACTTGTGAAGAGGGTAACCCACCCGAGTATATACATGAAATAATTGAATTTCCTGTTGTTTTACTGAATACTGGTACCTTAGAAATAGTAAGTGAATTGTTATATTTTAATTTTACTTTTAATAGTAGCTATTTTGGGATTGGTTAATAAAGCAAAGGATCTCAGTTGCTGTTTCAGCTAGAATTAGAATTCTAAGTGGGCCCTTTGCTGTGTGCTTTGTATCAATTTGATTAATAGAAAAGCTATAATAAAATAATTTTAAAGTCTGCTTTCTCCTTTTCCAGTAGCTAAAATTATAGTGACTTTTCTATTTGCTTAGAACACATATCTGGCTAGACTTTAGAATCTTCTGGGTTGTGAAAAAAAGTGCTGATGCCTAGCCCTTATCTCAGAGATTCAGGATTAGTAGTTCTATGCTGGGGTCCCTGACGTCAATAATTTTTAAAGCTTCTCAGTTAAAATTTTTCTCAACTTTTCCTTTGAAGGAGTTGTAATGATGTCAGGGTTGAGAACCACTGTTATAGACTAATGTATCCTCTGGTCTCTGAAAATGATAATTACCTTTCAACTCAGAACTGGCCATCTTTCTGGTGAAAAGTTTATGGGGAAACAACTCTCATAACCTAGGCTTCTAAGCCATGTAAATATATTTGCTTTAGAGACTAGTTATCCATGTTACTAGTTCAGGAAGTCACCAGGAATTCTCCATAATAATACTGTTCGCCTTGTAAAATCTGAGAGAATATATCATAACATTTCATCTATCCAAAAGCTATGAGTTATCCTAGAGTCAAATTTTGACTTCAGAGTTCAGTTTAATGGAATCTTAGTATAACAGTAAGGACTATTGAGGAGTAAATGAGAGAGCAGTAATCTGGAGGTAATTTAAGTGAAGACTGGTATTTAAAGGAATTATAATTTGAAAACCTTTTAATGTCTTGAAGTAGAGGTTGCATTTAATAATAGTCTGACAGTTTTAAAATATTACAAACAAAATAATCTACATCATGTTTCTCTGGAAAATGTTTATTTAAACTTCAGTTTGCTGGCTGGCTTGCTTGCAGACACTTGCTTTATTGTAAAAAGTTTAAAACAAACATAATTTTTAAAATAAAAAAATCAGAGTGTTTCTGGAGAATTTATCAGGGCTGCCTTATCAAAATGGAGTATGAGGGGGGAAATCAGAGTGCTTTGGGAATAGGGAAGTACCCTTAAATTGTTAAAATTCCAAGTTCTATGCTACAAGCACCTATAGTTATAATCTTGGGTGGTTGCATTAGTCATGTATCATGTGTCACATATCTGAAGTCATAAAAACACATTAACTTGCTGTCCTTTTTTCATAGGAAGATACGTTTCAGCAGTATGTGAGACCAGAGGTTAACACCCAGCTTTCTGATTTCTGCATCAATTTAACTGGAATTACTCAGGTTATAATTCTATGTTCCTTTTTCAAGAGTTTGCAAGTTGTTTTAAAATTAGTGATTTATTTCATAGTTTAAGTTAATAGGTTTTTAAAATCTATGCTTGCTTGGTAAAGATTTTTCATATTGTAATGTTTAAGAAACTGAAAAGCAAATTTTATATCTAAAACTTTTCTCAACTTTTCCTTTAAAGGAGTTGTAATGATGAATCTAAAGGTTCATTTGTTTGCAGTGTTAGTAAAATAATTATTATTGTGCTGAACTTGGAGCTAAAGTTTAAAAATATATCTATGTTTTCAACCTGACTTTATGTACAGTGCTAGAAGGCCCACTGCATGAAATTCGTGCAGGGGAGGGGGAGGTCACTCAACCTGGCCTGCACCCTCTCGCAGTCTGAGATCACTGGCTCCTAACTGCCTGCCTGATTGCCCCTAACCACTCTGCCTGTCTGATCACCCCTAACCACTCTGCCTGCCTGCCTGCCTGATCGCCCTTATTGGCTTGCCTGCCTGCCTGATCACCTCTAACTGCTGCCTTGCCTCCTACTGCTGCAGCTTCGTCCAGAAGGACGTCTGGAATGATGTCTGGAAGGTCGTCTGGTTGTGCAGTCTAATTAGCATATTACGCTTTTATTATTGTAGATAAGAAATATTACTGATGATTACCTTTATTCTAAGAAAATTCAAATGGGAGCAGATCACCTAGAGAAGGAAATAATGACTGATGAGGCCTTGTGCCTCTCTTTTGGGCAAGTGAGAGTATCTTCAGTTATTTAAGGGGTATTTGTGTGACCCTGCTATTGTTCCTGTAATTTTAAGATAGGGTAAAAGGTGAATAAATGCCAAATAGGCAAAGGGTAGGTTTTGTCTGTTGGCTCAGAGCTCTATCTATGCCCTTCTGTGCTTTCCTGTAGTTCAGGGGAAACTGCATTTTCTAGATGCCCCTGGCAGCTAACTTCTCGCTGCGGAGCATGGACGCAGTGGAGAAGCCCCGCTCTCTGCCCCTCACCGGGCTCAGCGGGGGTGGGGGCAAGGGCAGTGCAGTCTGCAGGCTGCTGTCTTCCTTGGCAGCACCTTTCCAATGGCAGCAGTAAGTTCTCAGCAGCCTCAGAAGGGCTTGGTCTGGCTCTTTCATCCATGAGAGTGATCTCTAACTTCACTTTTTTCTCGCCTTTCTTTTACAACCCTCTGGTAAGCAATTCCCAATATTAAATCCTATCTGTTTGAAATACCTAGTGGGGGCTCTGTTTCTCCACTGATGCAGGTGACCCCACAGCCCAGCCTATGCAAAAGAATAATATGAATGGGGAGGAGGCTGAGGAGATCATTGATGAGCCAGAAAAAAATAAAAAAAAGAAGAAATCATATAATGGGATGTCAGGGACAACATGCTATGAGTTATTTTTTGTTTGTTAATCCTCCTTAGAGAATATTTTCCCATTGATTTTGAGAGAGAGAAAGAGAGAGAGAGAGAGAGAGAGAGAGAGAGAGAGAGAGAGAGAGAGAGAGAGAAAAAGAGACATCAATGTGAGAGACACATAAATTGGTTGTTTCCTGCATCTGCCCAAACAGGGTTGAGGATCAAACCTGCAACCCAGGTTTGTGCCCTGAACCTGAGATCCTTCAGTGGGCAAGTGAATGCTCTAACCATTGAGCAATGCTGGCAGGATATGCTGTGATTTCTGATGTTAGCAGTTGCAGGTGGTGATAAGGCATTGGGCCTCTAGTGTGTGTGGGTCTGTGTGTGTGTGTGTGTGTGTGTGTGTATAGATGTAATTATTTTTAGTCTCTGATTTTGGTTGTATTCTAAATATTTTTTATTGATTTTTTACAGAGAGGAAGAGAGAGGGATAGAGAGTTAGAAACATGGATGAGAGAGAATCATCGATCAGCTGCCTCTTGCACACCCCCTACTGGAGATGTGCCCGCAACCAAGATACACGCCCTTGACTGGAATTGAACCCGGGACCTTTCAGTCCACAGGCCGACACTGTCCACTGAGCCAAACCGGTTTCAGCATGATTTTGGTTGTATTCTAATGTGGCAGGCACTTTGTTCATTTATTTAGCTCCTTTGTTAATTTATTCATTCACTCAACAAATATTTTAGTGCCTACTATAGTATTTGCCAAGGTACTAGGTCTACAAAGATGGTCAAATCAGTTTCTCCCTCAGTTCAGTTAACACTCTCTATTCAGGAGGACACAAAGAAGAAACCAGTGGTCACAATATGGTTACGAAGGCTGACAAGTCAGGGTATCACAGGCATCTAAAAAAAGAGGGTTGTCCTGAGTGAAACTTGCTCACATTGGTGAACTTAGGCTGAGTCATGATAGGTCAGTAGGTGGAAAAGAATGACTGGGCATTTTAGGTGTAACAGCAGGATTGTAAGTAGTTCGTGGTGGTTTACAGGCATATGCTCCCATATAAACCTAAAGTGGTAGCTGAGGCATGCAATGTCATGCAGAGCCTTGTGTGTCTTTCTATCCTGAAAGCCTTGGGGAGTGTTTGGAGGATTTTAAGTATGAAAGTGATTTTAGGAAGCTCAGTTTGGCAGTGGTATGGAGTACGTGGTAGAAAGATTTGAGCTTCGAGATAGATTAGTGTAGCGCGAGAAGAGATGTCCCTTTTCTCTACTCCAGAGAGTGGTAAACTACTAGGGTGAGGCCTACAAAAAGAGAACTATGGGGGATTATTTTTAAGTCTTAATTTTGGGAGGATTATGTGCTTCACTTGAAAGTAGTCCCCTACTATTTGGCTATAAACAATTTTTAATTATCTAAAAAATGAAATATTAGGTGTAATTCAGCCAAGGAAATCATGAAGACTTTAAAACATTATAGATAAGACTCTCACTCTGTTCTTTTCCCTCCAGTGTTTGTGTCTGGGTATCTTGTGTCTGGGTATGACTACATGTAGCTACTCTGATTTTTGTATATTTTACTTTTATATCCTCAGGATCAGGTAGACAGAGCTGATACCTTCCCTCAGGTACTGAAAAAAGTAATTGACTGGATGAAATTGAAGGAATTAGGAACAAAGTATAAGTATTGCATATTAACAGATGGGTAAGTAGGAAAATTTATAATATTTTTACCTACTTTTTAAGATTAAGGATGTCCTTATTTAACTTTTAGAATAACCATAAGAATATTATTTACTAAAGGCGACAATAGTTTTCCTTTTGTTATATTTGAAAGCAATAAAAAACAGTCTAATCCAGGACTGGAAGGCTAGAAAAAGATACATATTAAAATGTAAAACTAAAACTATTTTCATAAGGACACTTGCTTGCTCAGAAAAGTCCAACTCTTCAGTCTTGTGTTCAAGGATCTCTCATCTAATGTCTCCCTACCTGTGTAGCCTAAGGCACCTGCCTTTCTTATTTGCCTTAGGCTGGCCCGTGAATCACATGGTTTATGCTTTTCCTATGTACTTACGCCTCTCTCTCTCCTGGAAGGCTCTCTTCCTTTACCACTTCTTTGTTGTTATTCAAAGCCTACCACATGTTTACTCTGGACACTACAATTCACGTTTTTTTTTTTTTTCTTGAAGTCATGATGTGTACCATTCATATTAGCATCTGATTAAATATTCTGATATCTAAACTTTATATACATAAGACTTAGGTTTGCAAAGAGATTAAAAATCCTCTCAGAGCAGGGACTTTGGCTACTTGGTGGTCTTTCGTATTGCGCTTACTGTAGTTTTGAGTTAAAAATGTGTGCTCCAAAGGCATTTGTGAAATGAAAGACTAACTGGGAAATGAGGACCATCAACAGAAGCTGTGCCAACACAGCTCCTCCCATGATGCTATTCACGTTCAAGAAGGAAGTTCTCAACAGCTTTTATTTCAAACTGTGGACACTGCATTTTTAGATTGTACACTACAGCTATGATGTCACTTCCTTAAAGGATTTAGAGACCTTCACAAAGAACAAGGAAAGAGCATTGCATTTAATCACATTGTAATGACGTTTTAACAATGCACATTTGGGAAAATGTTAATGGACCTCTTTAGAAATCTTATTGATTTCAAACAGGAATGATCAATGTTCTTACTCAAGTATACATATGTTTTTGTTGTAACACAGTGTGTGCGATTCTGTAAAAACCTCACATTCTGGGATAGACCATTCAAAACCTTTGCAATTAACCAGTGCACTAATAAAGGCAGTAATTGGTAACTCCAGACGTAATTTGGACAGCCAGGCAAGCATCTGTGGAGGTGGGGACTTCACCAAAGTTGCATGAGAGGATATTACACATGCGTGGAAGCAATGGGATCCTGGGGACAGGCACTTATTTTTAATTTTTTTAAAATACATTTGAAAGTACAGTAGCTGAGTTGAGAGCTGTGTTTTGTTTTTCCTGCTGAAGGTTATAAGTTTGCTATTATTCTGACTTCCTCTGGCTAGTAAAACCCACATATGGAACCAACACAATTTAATTACACAGGTTGATTAGTATTATGGGAACATAATACTATATATATATATATATATATATATATATATAGCAGACGAAATTGTATTCTAACTACCTGATACCAGCTCCTTTTATCTCTTTCAAGTATTTTTGTTCATTTTTATTGTATTTCAAAATGTACCCTCACAAAACTTTCCAGTATGATAAACCTGACACTAAAAGTAAGCTTAGCAGAATTATTTTAGAATTATGAAAAAATATTCAACAAGATAGAGCTTTCTTTGCCTAGATAATCAGAACCATAAAAATAATCAAGATCACCCTAATAGATTAGTTTGTGAAAAAAAATTTGATATACCCACCTTTTTATTTTTTGTTAGTTTATTTTTGAATTAATATTTTAGAAGAACAGATTTTAATTTTCTAAGCTCTATGTTATATGTAAGAAAGGTGTCATGTAAATAAAAAACATAAAATGCGTTAAAATACTCATTTGTAAAAATAGGATAGCATTTATTTCATCCATTTATTTCCTGTTTTTGATTTACAAGTTCGTGGGATATGAGTAAGTTCCTGAACATTCAGTGCCGGCTCAGCAGGCTCAAATATCCTCCTTTTGCTAAAAAGTGGATCAATATTCGAAAGTCATATGGAAACTTTTACAAGGTACAATTTCTATATTTTGATTATATTTTTAAGCTGTTGATAAGTTTATTATTTTTTTGTATGCACATTAAGTTATGATTTACTAGGTGCTTTTCACGGGAAAAGGCCATATAATTAGTTATTTTCAGATTCCAAATTAGTTATGTTCATAGGAGTTTAGAAAGAGAAGCTGTTCTTTTAATCTGTTACATAAGTAGATTAATATGATCCTCAATAAAAAATTTGAAACTGTTGGGGTATTCAATATATGGATTATTTGTGGAACAGTTAATCACCACTGGATTTTAATTTTATCAAATTTAATACTTGTAAAACATTTATTAAATGAAAAATTTTTAAATATAATATTGCAAAGCTGTTAACAGTTGGCAGTTTTCCACCATGGCTCTTATCAGTACTGGTTTCTGTTCTCCTGAGACAAACACTTTCAACTCGTTAAAGCTATTTCTTCTATTAATAATACTGACCTTAATATTCCTAAATTATGTGTTTGTACTATTTCCTGAATTTCAGTTTGAGGTATCTATTAATGGAAGATGAAGCGCCATTTTGCATATTCTTCTCCCTGCATCTTTTTTTTTTTTTTATTAAATATATTTTTTTATTGATTTTTTTTTACAGTGAGGAAGGGAGAGGGATAGAGAGCTAGAAACATCGATGAGAGAGAAACATTGACCAGCTGCCTCCTGCTCACCCCCCACTGGAGATGTGCCCACAGTCAATGCACATGCCCTTGACCGGAATCGAACTTGGGACCTTTCAGTCCGCAGACCGACGCTCTGTTCACTGAGCCAAACCGGTCCTGGCTCTCCCTGCATCTTTCTAATGTAGTTACATTACCTCTACAACTGAATCATTATTCAGTGTTTATATTCCTACTAGAGGCCCGATGCAAGAGGAGGCCTTCCTTCCCCCAAGTGCCGGCGCCGGCTTCCCTCACAGCTCCCGCTTCACCTGGAAGGCCGTCCAGAAGGACATCCAGAAGGATGTCAGGTCTAATTAACATATTATACTTTAATTGTTATAGATGATGATGGATTGTGTTCATAGCTTTTCCTCAGATTCATTAATTAACTTAGTTTTCTTATCCTATTCCTTTCCATTCTGCAAATCACTTCTTAGCAACTGTACTTAGAACATCTGGGTAGTCTGTTTCTCTCTCCTTCCCCTGTGTGCGCCCCCCCCCCTTTTTTTTTGTGTTTTTTTTTTTGTTTTGTTTTGTTTTTAAATATATTTTATTGATTTTTCACAGAGAGGAAGAGAGAGATAGAGAGTTAGAAACATCAATGAGAGAGAATCATCGATCAGCTGCCTCTTGCACACCCCCCACTGGGGATGTGCCCGCAACCAAGGTACATGGCCTTGCCCGGAATCGAACCCGGGACCTTTCAGTCCGCAGGCCGACGCTCTATCCACTGAGCCAAACCGGTCCCGGCCCCCCCCCCCCCCTTTTTTTTTTTTTTTTTGTAATTACTTCCTGGAGTCTTGAATTCTGTTCTGACCTGAACTTTTGTACTTTTGTTGTTCATACTTCTAAAATCATCTAGAAGTTTCCTTTTCTTCTCTCTCATCTTTCTCAACTTTCTTCCTTCTTCATTTTGGTGAAGCACATCCTAAAGCAGGTTCATGAGAAAAGTTGTTTCAAAATGTTTTTTGTGTGTGGTTTTAACATTTCTTAAAACTGAGAACTGTGAGTATAGAAAAGTGGAGTTTGACAGGTTGTTTAAAGTGAAATCCCTTGTAATTTCCACTTACTCACCCCCTCCCCTTTCCTCCAGGAGCTCCCCCAATCCATACCTTTAATAGGAATTATTTTCTTGCTTTTCTGTACAGCCTTAATATGTATATGTTTATGTTTATATCATAAAGGTAGGTTTTGCCTAATTTTGAACGTGACATCATTAGCACCATACTGTTTTGTTTATTTTGCTTTTCCCTCTCAACGTAATGGTTGAGATTTTCCATGTTGTATATAGGGCTGTAGCTCATTTATTTTACTGAGAATCCCATTGTGTGACTATACCAGAGTGTATCTGATGCACTTTGCCTGGCCATTTGGGTTTCGGTTTGAGGCTTTTATGAACAGTAGTGCTAGGAACATTCTTGTGTATGTCTTCTGGTGTCTTAGTGCACTCATTTCTCTAGGTTATAAACCTAGGAGTGGACTTGCTGGGATATAGGGCATGTGTGTCATTGGCATTACTAGATAACGCAAACAGAGTTTTCCAAAGGAGTTACATCAATTTGCACGTTTCACCAGAAGAATATATGAATTGCTAATTGTTTCATATTTTTGCCAGCATCTGGTATTAACATACATTTAAATGTAAGTCTACCCTCGCAGGTTTGGCTCCGTGGATAGAGTGTCATCCTGTGGACCAAGGGCCCTGGGTTCAATTCTGGTCAAGGGCATGTACATCGGTTGCAGGCTCCTGTGCCTGTGCAGGAGGCAACCAATTGATGTGATTCTCTCACATCAATGTTCATTGTTTCTCTCTCTCTTTCCCTGTCCTACTCTCCCTAAAAATCAATGGAAAAATATTCTCGAGTGAGGACTAAAAAAGTAAAAATAAATTGTTGGATGTGTGATGCCATCTTGTTGGGGTTCTAAATTGCATTTGCTAATTACTTATGAGGTTGAGCTTCTTTTACTATGATCATTAGCTATTTGGAGTTCTTCTTTTATGCAGTCCTGGTTTAAATCTACCCATTTAAAAAACATTGGTTAGTCTTTTCTTATGTAGTGAGTAAGCAGTACAACTGAAATTGTGAAGATGACCAGCTGATAAAAACATTTATATAAATGGTGTAGGTGATATAAACCATTTATATAAAATGTAAAACCTAGCCAAAACCGGTTTTGCTCAGTGGGTAGAGCATCAGCCTTTGGATTGAAAGATCCCAGGTTCGATTCCGGTCAAGGGCATGTACCTGGTTGTGGGCACAAACCCCAGAGGGGAGTGTGCAGGAGGCAACTGATCGATGTTTCTCATCGATGTTTCTAACTCTCTATCACTCTACCTTTCTCTCTGTAAAAAATCAATAAAGTATATTTTAAAAAAATATAAAACCTAACAAATCTTTCTGAGGAGGATATACTAAAGATAGAACAGTGATTCTCAAAAGTGAATTTTAATGAGTGTGTGAGATTTTTATATTTATCTAAATGGAATGGGTATTTAAATAAGCTGAAAAATACGTGACATTGTCTTTCTTTTTTTAAAAAAATCACTAAGGATATGTTTTCCATTGACTTTAGAGAGAGTGGAAAGGAGAGGGAGAGAGAAAAACAAACATCAGGTGCCTCCCATATTTACCTCAACCTGGGATTTAACCCACAGCCCTGACTGGGAATCGAACCTGAGACCCTTTGGTACACGGGATGATGTTCCAACCAACTGAGCCACACTGGCCAGAGCGTCTTTTATTCTTGATCTTAATTATTTTTTATCATCCAGAAATGCCAGATATGTTTCGTATTTCTGTCTAGGAGTCATTCAAGTAAAATAATATAGAAAAATACCATTGTAAAAAAGAATTAGTTTGAGTTAAAATGGTAGAATTTCAGTTTAGAAGGACAACACATTTTCTTTCATAAATTATTTGTTAAATTATAAAACTGTAAACTTTTTAGATGTCTTGAGGATTCCACCTGTCAATATATATTTTCATCCAAAGCACTAGAGCCCTGGAGGTTTATATTATTAATTTACTTTAATTATCCAGGAGTATTTGCCCTTCGTTTAACTTTATTTAGCTATTACTATTAGTTTTTTGTTTTTTATTTTTTTACTTCATAGTCATTGTTAGAATAATAAAGAATTATTTATTGCTTATTTTTCAGGTTCCTAGAGGCCAAACCAAACTGACAATAATGCTTGAAAAACTAGGAATGGATTATGATGGGCGGCCTCACAGTGGCCTTGATGACTCCAAGAATATTGCCCGAATAGCAATTCGAATGCTTCAGGATGGATGTGAACTCCGAATTAATGAAAAAATGCATGCAGGACAGTTAATGAGTGTGTCTTCCTCATTACCAGTAGAGGGCGCTCCACCTCCACAAATGCCACATTCTAGAAAATGACAAGCATTTTTGCCTTTTGCCCATGGATCATTCACTATAACTGCAGTTGCTACAAAGGGGTAGCAGATGAATACTTACTGAAGTGCAAAATTTAAGCACCTTAGATATAAAACCTTATTTACAGTTATAGGTACATATCTGTGAACAGATTCTGTGGAGAGGGCATATTGAATTATTTGTCACCAGCACTTTTATATGAGCAGTAATTGTTACACAGTAACAGTTCCTTTAGAATTGAATTTTATAGTTTAAGGTGTCTAAGATGTGTTTCTTTTGGTTTTAAATGCAAAGGTTTATTGAGTTTCCCTTTAATTGTCATCTCATTGAATTAAAATATATAATGTATTTCTACATTAACATCATTAGATCAAATTATTTCTTAAATTGCAGAAAAGATTGGAAGGTAGACCTTATATAGCTTTTGGTTTCTAAGCATATAGTCCTATTGATTTTTGAAGTTTATATGTGAAGTTCATCTGTTTGTGGTGAATTTCATAAAATACTTGGTACACATACTTGTCTGTGTTTGTGTTCAATTTATAATTGTAAGACTTGTGATAGATTATAGGGTCTGGTTAAAAATTCAGTACTGATGACAATGCAAAGTCAGAAGAAAATACCATTTAAAGGACTATCAGGGCTATACCTCACATTTTATAATACACAGATAAATCAGTGGGACTTGGGGACTGGGCTTTTTGATTCCCTTCCTTCTCATGACATATATCTGCCCTAATTCTTAAATCTAAGAGAACATGCTTCGAAGTAGACTTAAAACTAAGGATCATTACTGAATTTTTCATTTGTATTCAACATTATGAGTGAGGTTAATAAAGTCAAGTAATGCTTTCTACCATGTTTTATGTTTTATTATTAAAAACCGATTTTACATAGTGACTACTAAATGTTGAACAGTTAATTCTTAACTAGTTGTAAGAACAAAAATGTGTTCACAGAATTGAGAAAGGAAAACTCTTTTTATTTAGAAGCTAAAAATATGTATTTTCAGACTTGCATTTATCCCTATAGCTTTCTTGAACAATTTTATTGGCATCGATTTTTTCCATGGAGCATTTTCATTGACATTGCTTTTTTCTTTTTAAATAATTGTGATGCTACTTTATTTTAATGATTTATGTGTTATAATCAAATGAATTTTATAGAGGATTTTCAACCCTGATGGATAAGATAAAAGTAGGTATTTTTCTTGGTATGAAACTATACACAGTGCTCATGTAAAAGTAGAGTCAGCATAATTAGAGAATAACAGGTGGACAATAGAAGACGCAGGGCTATATGATGCCCTTAGACAAACTAATGTGGATTATAGTAAAACATCTAGAAGTTTTAGGTTTTTTACAGTAAACTGGAGGTGAAGTGAATATATGCTGATATTTTTGAACAAAGAAAAAATCACCATATAATATACCATATGATATTTCTGAAAGTTTTAAAGAATTCCCTTCAAGTCCTAATTGTGCTACTGTGCCATGGCAGAGCAGTAGAGAGTAGTAAATCCATTGAAATGTGGATGCTAGGAGATCCATTTGACATGCTCGTTGGGTGATTTTGCCACATTAATCACGTTACCATTGAATTCAAATTCATGCCATGGCAAAACTGGAATTACCTCTCACCAGCTTCCAGAGTGGCTCATCCGTAGCTGAAGCTGCAAGTGGGAAACCTGAGAATGGCAAAGAAATATTACATTTCCCTCTTTCTTTTAAAGTCACACTGCTAATTTCTTTGCCGATTTTTCTTTTTTGCTAAGTACCGAAGTACCAAGAAGCTCCTTTTGTATTTATTGTTAAAACCTCAACACTATAAGCTCTTGCTATCCTTTGGCTCAAGCAAATATTTTATCTGGTGATGCTTTATAGTCTTAATTCATTTTTTTAGACTTTATGCAGAAATAATGAACAAATATAATTATATATATTTAAAGTGTAAATGTGATCATTTGATATCCATTGTAAAAGGATCACCGAGATCAAAATAGTTAACACATGTATCACCTCATATTAATTTTTTTTTCCTTTTTTTGGGTAAGAATGCCTAAGGTCTCAGCAACTTTCAAGGATATAATAGTATTTAATTAACCATCGTCACCATATTGTGCATTAGATCCTCAGAATTTATTCTTTATATAACTGAAAGTTTGTACCCTTTGTCCTACGTCATCCCATTTTCCCCATCACCAGCCAGCCCTTGTTGTTTCGTAGTTGTTTATTGTTTTTGTGGCAAGATGAGCATTGGAACTGCCTAGCCCTTCATCTTGCTCACCTCACCTTCCTCTGAACTCAATTTTAATTGTTTTGTTGAGTCTCTGCCCTTCCCTCCGATTGGATATATCTTGTGTCAAATGACTTTCGTTTTTAATACATTTTTATTGATTTCAGAGAGGAAGGGACAGAGAGATAGAAACATTAATGATGAAAGAGAATCACCGATTAGCCACCTCCTACATACCCTGCACCAGATCGAACCCACAACCCGGGTTGGGGATTGAACTATGACCTCCTGGTTCATAGGTCGACATTCAACCATTGAGCCATGCAGGTTGGGCCAAGTGGATTTTTCATTGGATTTTGCTGAAACTGTTAATCATGCCTGTTCTGATGAGATGAAATTAAACAGGGAATACTGCTTTCTACTTTTTGATTTTTGCAAGGGAAATGCTTAAGAGATGAATGCCATCTAGTGTTTCAGAAAACCAATAATAATTTATTCTTGTCAGTTTTTATTTTCTCCAGCATTGTAATATATGCTATGTACTATAATGATATTAATAATCATTATTTATACTTTACAAAAAACCCTTTTTTTCTTTAACAATTAGCTATGTTAATTTTTTGCTCTCTACTTTTCACTTGTTCTGATATGTTTGATTCTAGGTTTCTGTTGTATTATTTCAGATGCATAATCTTTAGAACCAACTGAGGAATATACCAGAGCACTGTATTTTTTCCTTGGTTTGTTTTGTGTTCTTTTGGATAAAATACTTGAAGACATTTGTTGTGAAAAAAATCTTTTTGGAGGTCTTTTTTTTTTTTCTTTTCACCAAAATAAACCTGTTTAACCTGTTTCCTAGAGACAAGTTTCTACCTGGATTGGAATGAAAAACCATAGGAGTCAGTAACATATTATCTATTAAGAGGGATATGGTATCATTGAAGACTAGTTTATGGTCATTTTTTAAAGATGGGGCCAGATATCTTGCTCTCTTTAAGGTATCATGATGAATATTATCCCCAGTGATCATGCAAAACAGAGTAGTTTGGGGGAGAGGAAAAGAACCGCTAGTAAAATTGAAGACGGAAGGAAGCAGGGTGGTCAGGATAACTGTTTGGCATAGGCTGTAGGTGGGATCACCAGAGCAACTACCTGCCCCTGATGTGAATAAGCCTGTATGTGCCACTAGATTGGACAGATTGTGTTTTGAAGGAAGACTCGGTATCTAAGCTGTGAAGAAGCATGCATTCCTTGAGAGCAGTGACTAGGACTTCTCCATCTTTGATTCCCATGGTGATTCTAAAAATGCCTTGCCCATAGTCAAGTTTAGTGCTAGTAAATGAATGACAGGCTTTAAATATCTTCTTAAAAATTATACTTAGAAGTTTACTCTTCTGCACCTGTATTTCAATCCCCTGCCCCAGAAAGCTTCCAAAGCCCATAAACTGGTAATCTGGAGCAGGGGCTGGCAAACTTCCTCCCCTAGGCAAATCTGGCCCCCTGACTTTTCCTATGGCCTGTAAACTAAGTATGGCTTTAACGTTTTTAAGTGGCTGAAAAAGTAAGAGGTAATAATATCGGTGTCCTTTACTTTCTGAAAATCCACATCATGCCTCTTCATTTTTATAGAAAACCTACATTAGTACCTGTTTTCACTAGCTGAGTGAAAACCAAAGATTTTTGCTTTTCTGAAAAAAGCTGCTATTATATTAAAGCAGGTATTTGGTAAAAGCAAAGTGGCATAATGTGAAATTTTGGGAAGTGGGTATATACTCTTCGCTTTATGCCATTTCAGTTCATGATGGTGTCATAGAAATGCTATACCTTATCATATGAAACTATATGAAATTAAATTTCAGTTTTTGCAAATAAAATCATCTTGGAACACAGCTACCATGCTCATTTGTTTGCACGCTGTCTCTGGTTGCTTTGTGTCACAACATCAGAGTTGAGTAGTTGCAATAGAGACCATCTGGCTAGCAGGGCCGAAAATATCACTGTCTCCCTTTGCAGAAAAGGTTGGCCTATTCCTCCCTCTTGGACCTTAGAGCAAAACAAAGTTCCATCAGCTAAGAAATCACTGCAGTAAGGATGCTAAGGTACAATAAGAATTTCTCCTAATGTGGAATTCTGCAGGATTATCTCCATTTTACAGATGGCAAAATTGAGGTTCATTAAGATGAGCTTGCCAAAGTTGAAGTAGTGGGAGTGTCAAACTTAGGGCAGGCTTAGTTGAGCCTTGCACTTTTACCCTTTGCTATGCCACCTCTCCTGAAAGACTTCAGCTCATTTGATATTCTGTGAACAGATATGTTGTCCTACATAGTCTGGGCATCTTCCTGCTGCATTTTAAGCTAGACTCTTTCATCGTCTGATGGTACTAAAAATATATCAGGGGATAATTTGATGTTCATTATTTGAATGGAACAAACATACAAATACTGTTAACTTCAAAGGTAACAAGCTTGCAAGGCTTGTTGGAGATGGGTCAGTGGGAAAAGAAAAAGATCTATGTTCTAAATTTTCCCCAGCATGCTGAAAGTGAGGACTGTAATGAGTCTATAATGAGACAGGGGTCAAAGGACTTCAGCTTGGCTGATGAGGGGCTGAGGAGGGGAGGTAATTGTTTTTATGAATCGTGCAGCAAGACAAGTAAGAAAGAGGCTGATGAGTCTGAGGCATTAACTAGATCTGTTTTTGAAACAGATCAAGGAAAATTTCTTTGGGTGAATACTGATAAATCATTGTGGGTATAGTATGATCAATGA